GATTCAAAGCTACAGTGGTAATAATGTGATAATAGTTATATTCATTTTATAAGGCATATGGTTGTTCAGATCTTCTCAAATTGACACAATGACTTGGCATATTCTCAGGCACCTTCAGAAAGTTGACTACCAGTTAACTCTGTAGCATTCTGGTCACATCTTTCTCACTTGATTGCTAATAAATTTTAAAAGAAAAATCATTACACTGTCTTATTTAGTAGAATGCATTTCTGGTTTTTAAGAGTTTCAAAATTTTCCCCCTGAATTGGCAGTAAAACTTGAGGTTGCAATTGCATTTATTAGAGATTGACATCAAGATTTTCTGTACTTGTACATTATGTGAATTTTATTAGGAAACAGTATACCTCTTCGCACTTCTAGATCCTTCCATGCTCACAAAAACCAAACCGAACCTTCTTTCTGGATAGTGTTTTGTACTTATGCCATGTGACTTAGTTGTTGATTTTATCTTTGCAGACCATCAGCAGAGCCTTCATGAATGGCAGTGCCCTGGAACATGTGGTAGAATTCGGCTTAGATTATCCAGAAGGCATGGCAGTAGACTGGCTTGGGAAGAACTTGTACTGGGCAGACACAGGAACGAATCGAATTGAAGTGTCAAAGTTGGATGGGCAGCACCGACAAGTTTTGGTGTGGAAAGACCTGGATAGCCCCAGAGCTCTAGCGTTGGACCCTGCTGAAGGGTAAACAGCTTTATGTCTGCATCCCTTGCAACTATATTGCACATTTTGAGGAACATGGCTTAGTTATAGATTATATTCTTCATGTATTATTAAATAATGCTTATTAGGAATCTGGCAACTAAACAATAGATAGGCTTTATTTTAAAACCATTAATTGAGATTTCACTGATTAAGAATGAATAATTATTAGCTGATTTTACTTTTGTCATTATTAGCATTGGGTGAAGAAAGAGTGAAATGGATTAATAATCAAATGTTACTGATCAGTATTTATATACTAAGCATTATATAGATGTGAACAGCCTTTTTTTATAGGTATCATCAATCTATATTTGCTTGCATACCTTCCCCAGTTATACTAGATTCCAAACATATTATAGTAAACCCACTGAAACAATGTTGTGTGCATGTAAAAAGTTTGGGATGTTTATTAATTCAAAGTAGACAATTAGTTTAATCATTATTATAAATGTGGAGTAACTTGGGTATTGCAAGATAAAGTGTTTACTTAAATCATGACATGTTTTTCAAGGGTAGGTGATCCCTCTAAGAAGAGTCAGCAAATTTTTAAAGGCCAGCAGCTAAGAAATCTGAAATTTGAAAAAAATTCCACTTTTAAAAGAAGTCAACAGTGTGAACATATGGACATATTTACCATATCTGTTATTTAAAATAGTTTCCCTGAAATCACATTAATACCATGGTTAGCTAGTTATCCATGTAGTTAGGAGGCTGTATCAAAGATAGCTTCTCTGCAGTGACATATTGTGGTGAGATTATGGTGATCTTTGCTCTAAGTGTTAGTTGTCAGACAGATAAATTTAGTAGTTGGGACTAAGGACTGTGGTATAGGTTGCTGCTGGGAAGTGTGAAATTTCTCTCCCAGTTGTTTCTTTTTGGCTCTTATAGTGTGCACATGCCTGTCAAATGACAAGTGCAAATGCAAACAAAGCCTGGACAACTTTAGTTTTCAGAAAAGCATGTTCATACATTACTACCAAGCCAGCCATCAGCTGACAGGCTGACGAGTGAATATCTGTCCTGAGGTATTTCATGAGAGCTGGCATGTGGAGTGCTTTTCTAGTGCCAGTATTCAGAGTGTCTCCAAAACTAGCACCTTAGTAGTTTAGTTGAAGGGCATTTGGCTAAGGATTAGGTTCTGGTTCTAGCTTTGCCATGTAACTGGTGGGAAGACATTAGACAAATAGATCTTTTAGTGTTTTGGCCTCCTCATCTATAAAAAGCCTTTGCTATAGGGTTGCTCTAAGATTAAAGTGAGAAACTCAGAAAAGTAAAATGAAAGCAAAGTAATTGTTGTAAAATTTCACAGAGACTGTAGAGGTTAGTGTTCATTGCCTAGTTTGACACATAAGTGGCGATCCATTGTTCTTACTCATATAGTGTGCTCTCTTGGAGCATAAGACCAAATACATTTTCAAGCTTTGCTTTTGACTTCAGTTAAAGGCTCATTATTTATTTTTACCTTTGATGTACTCATGCAACTTGTTTTAGAGGAGAGTTGATTACACAAGTTGAAAAGTAAGTTCAACATTTTAAAAACTCAAATTAGTTGTATTCAGAAATACATAAAGATGTTTTATTCAGAAGTGAACCAGGTTTTCGAGAACAGAGCTTTAATCCTTTGCTGTTTTCTTGAATATTAGTTTTGTAAATGCCAGTGCTGCAATAAAGAAACCATTGGTTTGTTTCCATTTTCTAGGTTTGGATGGAACAAATTTATTGGAAAGACTAAGGAAAGCTGACTCACTTCCTTTTTGGGATATGAGAAAAAATACTTAGTTGAGGGTGCCAAAATTATTGAAGGAATTGTAGCCATGATTTTGTTTTGTCCATTTCCATGATTTGCCGTATAGTTTCTTTAAATTTATTTGGTTATGATGCATGAATATGACCCTTTCTCCCAGCTAGTCAAAAGTGAAATGTTAAATGTCCATTGTTTTGAATTTAGATTTATGTATTGGACTGAATGGGGTGGAAAACCTAAGATAGACAGAGCTGCTATGGATGGAAGTGAACGTACTACATTAGTTCCAAATGTGGGACGGGCAAACGGCCTAACTATTGATTATGCTAAAAGGAGGCTTTATTGGACAGACCTGGACACCAACTTAATAGAATCTTCAAATATGCTTGGTAAGCCTTACTACTTTTTATTCAGACAGATAGTATATTCTTTCTATGGAAAAATTGTGACCACTATTCATCATTGGTTAGATACTTTTAATACAACTTCATGTGAATGTCTAGATTCTTCCCCTTTTCCGGAATTGTATCCTATTTATTATTATTAATAGTGGTCCAGGTACTCAGATTCGTATTTCTTAATTATGTGAAAATTTCATTATTGTTGGGCTTATAATGAAATTTATAGCTCCCTAGATATTCCTCATGTGACCTATTTCTATGTTTTTATGGAAGGAAGAAGAAAAATTGAATTGTAGACCCTTACGTAGAAAAAATAAAATCACAATCAAAATAGACCATTTGCAGGAGTTTAAACTGACTCAGTGATTTATAGCAGGAGTATAAGTTTGTGGCATGGGGTCAGACGGCAGATGTATTGATTTCAGGGGACCGGTCTGGTTTTAGAATTGCTTTTAAATGAATTGTTCTACTTTAAATTGCTTACAAATGTAATGTTTCATATGTTAGGTTTTTTTTTTTCCTTTTGGCTGGCAAGACACTTATATTCTTACATATTTCATCCTTCTGCTTCTCCCCTGTCTATTGCCTTTCCGAAAATAGGACTCAACCGTGAAGTTATAGCAGATGACTTGCCTCATCCTTTTGGCTTAACTCAGTACCAAGATTACATCTACTGGACGGACTGGAGCCGACGCAGCATTGAGCGTGCCAACAAAACCAGTGGCCAAAACCGCACCATCATTCAGGGCCATTTGGATTATGTGATGGACATCCTTGTCTTTCACTCTTCTCGGCAGGCAGGGTGGAATGAGTGTGCTTCCAGCAATGGGCACTGCTCCCACCTCTGCTTGGCCGTGCCAGTTGGAGGCTTTGTTTGCGGATGCCCTGCCCACTACTCTCTTAACGCTGACAACAGGACTTGTAGTGGTAAGCTGCATTTCCCCCAAAGCAAGCTAGAATTAGGAGAGAAAGCAGTAGTTTGGAAGTGCTTTAGTTTTATGTTCTTTCTAAAGAAAAACATTGTACAAGTTAAGAGTGGACCATTTGTTTAATTGGAAGGGGAGGGTTAAGAAGGAGAAATTAAAGTTTTTGTTACTTATTGTTTGATGATAGCAACTAGATAGATGTTACAGAAAAATTAAATCTTTTATCCTTGGACATTAAATATTTAGTGCAAACTTAGCATAGTGTCAGAGAAGGAGCAGGAAAGGCAAGACTCATGCATGTATGGTATGCATAACTCGTGTTTATTCATTACAAAGGAAGGGAAGAGCAGTACAAGCAGTAAAACAAGGAGAATCCCAAAACATAACCTCCTGTCCTTTGAAGTACATGTAATAGCACAAACATAAAAAATTCATTATTTATTTATTTATTTATTTTATTTCAGAATATTATGGGGGTACAAACATTTTGGTTACATATAATGCATTTGCCTTGCCCAAGCCGGGGCTACAAGTGTGTCCTTCTCCCATACAGTGTGCTCCGCATCCATTAGTTGTGAGTTTACCCACCCCTCACACCCCCCTCCCAGCTGACTGGCACCCAGTGAAATATTACTAACATGTGAGCACCTTAGTGTTGATCAGTTAGTACCAATTTGATGGTGAATACATGTGATGCTTGTTTTTCCATTCTTGGGATACTTCACTTAGTAGAATGGGTTCCAGCTCTATCCAGGATAATATAAGAGGTGCTAGTTCACCACTGGTTTTTGTAGTTGAGTAGTATTCCATGGTATACATATAACACATTTTATTAATCCACACATGTATTGATGGGCACTTGGGTTGTTTCCACATTTTGGAGTTGTAAATTGTGCTACCATATACATTTGTGTACAGAGGTGTTTATTACAGAATGTCTTTTTATCCTTTGGATAGATGCCTAGTAGTTGGATTGCTGGAGCAAATGGTATTTCTATTTTTAGCTCTTTGAGATATCTCCAAATTACCTTCCACAGAGGTTGTACTAATTTGCAGTCCCACCAAAGTGTAAGAGTGTTCTAATCTCCCCACATCCACACCGGCATTTGTTGTTTTGGGACTTTTTGATAAAGACCATTCTCACTGGAGTTAGGTGATAATCTCATTGTGGTTTTGATTTACATTTCCCTAATGATTAGAGATGTTGAGCACTTTTTTATATGTTTCCTGGCCATTATTTTGTCTTCTTTTGAAAAGTTTCTGTTCATGTCCTTTGCCTATTTTTTGATGGGGTTGTTTGATTTTTTTCTTGCTAATTTTCTTAAGTACTGTATAGATTCTTGTTATCAGCCCTTTATCAGATGTGTAGCATGCAAATATTTTCTCCCATTCTGCAGGTTGTCTGTTTGCTTTAATGATAGTCTCCTTGGCTTTGCAGAAGCTTTTTACTTTGATCAGGTCCCATTTATTTATTTTTGTTGCTACTGTGATTGCTTTGGGGGTTTTCTTCATGAATTTTTTGTCTAGGCCGATGTCTGTAATTTTCCCAACATTTTCTTCTAGAATTCTTAAGGTTTCACACCTTAGGTTTAAGTCTGTTATCCATTTTGAGTTGATTTTTGTGAGAGGTGGGGATCTAGTTTCAGTCTTCTGCATGTGGTTATCCAGTTTTCCCAGCACCATTTATTGAATAGAGATTCTTTTCCCCAGTGTATATTTTTGTCTGCTTTGTCAAAGATAAGATGACATTATGAGGATGGTTTTATATCTGGGCTCTCAGTCCTGTTCCAAAGGTCTGTATCTCTGTTCTTATGCCACTATCATGCTGTTTTGATTACGATAGCTTTGTAGTACAGCTTGAAGTCTGGTAGACTGATGCCTCCCAATTTGTTCTTTTTGCTTAAGATTGCTTTGGCTATGCAAGGTCTTCTCTGGTTCCATATGAAGCAGAGAATTATTTTTTCCAGATCTGTAAAGAATGATGATGGTATTTTGATAGGGATTGCATTAATTCTGTAGATTACTTTAGGTAGTATGGACATTTTAACAATATTGATTCTGCCAATCCATGAGCATGGTAGGGTTTTCCATTTGTTTACATCTTCTGCAATTTCTTTTCTCAGTGTTTTGTAGTTCTCCCTATATAGGTTTCTCACCTTCTTCGTTAAATACATTCCTGAATATTTAATTTTCTTTGATGCTATTGTGAAAGTTGTTGCATCTTTGATTTGATTTTCGGCTTGACTGTTACTGGCTTGTATTAATGCCACTGATTTGTGAGCATTGATTTTGTATCCTGAGACTTTACTGAATTCATTTATCAATTCCAGGAGTCTCTTGGTTGAATCCTTGGGATTTTCTAGATATAATATCATATTGCCAGCAATGAGTGAGAGTTTGACCTCTTCTGCCTCCCATTCGGACACCCTTCATTCCCCTCTTTTGTCTGATTGCTCTGGCAAGGACTTCCAACATTATGTTGAAAAGAAGTGGAGATAGTGGGCAACCTTGTCTGCTTTCAGTTCTAAGCAGGAATGCTTTCAATTTTTCCCTGTTCAGTATGATATTGGCTGTGGATTTATCATATGTGGCTTTAATAATTTTAAGGTATGTCCCATCTATGACTATTTTGTTAAGAGTTTTTATCATGAAAGTGTGCTGAATTTTGTTAAATGCTTTTTCTGCATTTATTGGGAGAATCATAATGGTCTTTTTTCTTTCATTTATGTGGTGAATTGCATTTATAGACTTGCCTATATGTTGAGCCATCCTTGAATCGCTGGGAGAAAGCCCACCTGGTCATGATGAATAGTTTTTTTGATATGCTGTTGAATTTGGTTTGCTAAAATTTTGTTGAGGATTTTTGCATGTATATTCACGAGGGATATTGGGCTGTTGTTTTCTTTTTTTGTTGTGTCCTTTCCTGGCTTTGGTATCAAGGTGACGTTGGCTTTGTAGAATGAGTTGGGGAGGGTACCGTCCTTCTCAATGTTGTAGAATAATTTCTGCAGTATAGGTATGAGTTCTTCTTTGTAAGTTTGGTAAAATTCAGGTGTGAACCCATCTGGTCCGGGACTTTTTTTTGTTGGAAGATTTTTAATTGCTGCTTCAATTTCCGTGCTTTGTATTGGTCTGTTCAGGAATTCTATTTTTTCCTGATTGAGCCTAGGGAGGTTGTGTGTTTCTGAGAATTGTCTGTTTCCTCCACGTTTTGCAGTTTTGGGACATATAGATTTTTATAGTATTCAAAGATAATGTTTTGTATTTCTGTGATGTCTGTAGTGACCTCTCCTTTTTCATTTCTAATTGAGTTTATTAGGGTCCTTTCCTTTCTAGTTCTTGTCAGTCTAGCTAGAGCCCTGTCAATTTTGTTTATCTTTTCAAAAAACCAACTTTTGGTTTTATTAATCTTCTGTATAGTTTTTTTGTTCTCAATTTCATTTAGTTTTGCTGTGATCTTAGTTATTTCTTTTCTTCTGCTAGATTTAGGATTGATTTGCTCTTCCTTTTCCAGTCCCTTGATACTGTTTATTAGTTTGTTAATTTGTGAACTTTCTGTCTTTTGGATGTGAGCATTAATGCTATTAGTTTTCCTCTCAGGAATGCTTTTGTTGTATCCCACAGATTTTGATAACAAACATGAAATATTTAAATGTGTAAGAGACCACACAGAAAATGTATATGAGAAAATTTAACTCAGTATAAAATAATAGTTGATAGATAGGGAACTGGAAAGTACATGCTCTGAACGTAGTGGGCAGTTACTACTTAACTATAGCTAAGGTTACCCGATCTTCTTATCCAGTAATGAATCTAGATTCTTTTTTTGGGTGGAGGGTGCTACAGTGTCTCCTGATTTTTAAAGATTGGCAAGTAATTCACATTAATTCACAAACACACACACCCAGTGCTGACAGCAAAATGTATAACAAAATATTGTTGGCTAGAAGTGATCCTCCGATCACTTGAGCCTGGGAGTTCAAGGTCACAGTGAATTATGATCTCACCATTGCACTCCAGCCTGGGTGACAGAGTGAGACTCTCTCTTAAAAAAAAAAAAGCCAGGTGTGGCTGACACTTATAATCCCAGCATTTTGGGAGGCCAAGATGGGAGGATTGCTTGAGGCCAGGAGTTGAGACTAGCAACACAGCGAGATTCCATCTCTACAAAAAACATTTAAAAAAATTAGCTGGGCATGGTGGCACACATCTGTAGTCCCAGTTTCTCAGGAGGCTGAGGAGGGAGGATCACTTGAGCCCAGGAGTTTGAGGTTGCTGTGAGCTATGATGAGGCCACTGCACTCCAGCCTGGGCGACAGAGTGAGAGACCCTGTCTCAGAAAAAAAAATTGCTTTATTCTGCACCTGAGAGAACATATCAGAAATCATGTAGGAAAGGATTTAGTCTGTTCTGACATAGGCTTCAATTGTGAAAGAGAAAGAATACAAGCATATACTTTAATGATTAAGAGGTTATACTTTGGAGTATATTAGCTTTTTGTTTTACGGAAGTAAAATAAATTTTTTAAGGCTTAGTGTATCTCCTTTGTCAGTTGAGAATAATTGCAGTAACTACCTTATGGTGTTATTTTGAAGATTAAATAAGATCATGACCTGATTTCTGGGGAGAAGCAGCGGCAGCAGGAGGTCAGTTAGACAATGTGGTGATGCAAGTAGGCCCGGGCTGCAGCGGCATCGGTGTGTGTGGCAATGGAGAGATGCTGAAGGGTTCAAGGTATATTTTGAAGCTAGAAAGAACAAAACTTATTAATGGGTTGTATGTAGGGAAGAAAAATAGGAAGCAAGGATAACTTCTAGATTAGGTGTCATAGTAGATGGACTGTCAGAGGAGAGAGATGAGGTTTAGAGATATAAATTTTGGAATAGCCATGAGGTATTTAAAGTGAGTAGGATTACCCAGGGAGAAGATACAGTACAGGAGCCAGCAAACTTTTTCTGTAAAGGGCTGGGTTTTGTGAGTGTATAGGCTCTGTTACACCTGCTCAGCTCTTCACAGCTCTGTCCACTGTGACATGAAAGCAGCCATAGACGATATATTTTTTAAATGGGCATGGCTGAATTCTAGTCACATTTTATTACAAACACAAGCAGTAGGCCAGATTTGACTTGTGGGCTATAGTTTGCTAACTTCTGGTGGAGAGAAAAGAAGGGACCTTGGTAACCTAAGGACTCTGGTCGAGGAGCGAAAGTTCACAAAGAACACTGAGAAGTGGCAGCCAGATAGGTAAGAAGAAAAGCAGGGAGAACAGAGGCGCAGAAGATAGAGATAAGGGTGTTTCAGAAGTGAACTGTGTTGAATGCTGCTGGGAAGTTGAGTAAGGTGAGGTCTAAAATAGTATCCACTGGATTTTTGGGTAAGGTGCTTATTGGTAACCCTAAAGAGAGTGATTTCAGGGAAATAATGGTGAAAGGCAGATTGGAGCAGATTAAAAAGTGAATGGAGAAAAGGAAGAGGTAGTAGCATATATAGACATCTCTTTCAAGAAGTTTGGCTTTGAATGGAAGGAGAAAATGGGATAATAACTGATGGAGGATGGAGACAAAACAAATATTTAAAGACTTGTGGGGATCATTACTGTTTTAGCTGCTTATACTCATGCTTGTTGTTTGTGTTTTGAAGGTGATGAGAAATTACTCTTGAGTATTCCTAGTATCTCTGTTGGCTGCCCTTCTGTGGTAGATCTGCAGTGCTTCAGGAGGCTTCTTGCATGCTTTTTGTAAATAATGGGGTACTATTTAATATTTCTATAGAGATTTTTTCTATTCTAAGGCATATTACAAGAGTGTAACACAAAGTACTTACCCTCAAAAGTTTCCTAACATTGTGTAACTTGCTCTTTGACCTGTTGTAAAAGCTAAATCAGATCATGTTGTTTCTGTGCTCACAACCTTAAAATGACTCGCCGTTTCACACAGAGTAAAACCTAGTTCTTACGGTGGCCTGCCTGGTCCTACATAATCTATACCCCACATTTGGTAAACCCTTCTCCACCCCATTCCCCAATTTCCTTCTCTGACTTCATCTTATGCTATTTTCTCCCTTGCTTTCTCCATGACAGCCACACTGGCCTCATTGCTAGTTTCAGATATGCCAGTTACTCCATCTCAGGACTGTCATACTGCTTATTCCCTCTCCTGGAATGTTTTTCCTGCAAATATTTGCCTGGATATCTTTCACCTCCAAGTCTTTGCTTATTTGTGACCTTCACAGTGAGACCTGGTCTACACTTAAGTTGCAAGTTGTCCTTCCACCTGTCTGTCATTGCCAGTGCCCATTACTGGTACTTTTTCTTTTTCCCATATCACTTATCATCCTTTTACATAGTGTGTAATTTATATACTCTACTGTTTATCTACTATAACTTTCTTCTTTATTATATTTATTGTTACTGTCTACTGGAATATACACATTATGAAGCAGCAATTTTTTCTGTTTTCTTCACTAATGTATCTTAGGTGCCTAGAATAGTGCTTGGTATATGGTATACACTTAAGAAATTGTTGTTAAATGAATGAAGAAGCAGGACAGAATCCGGAAAAAGATAAGTGCTCTTCCACTCAATAGCTTTGTGACCTTGGAAAAACTACTTAACCTTTCTGAGCCTCAGTTTCTTCCTCTATAAAATGGAGATAATTTGGGTGATTAAGTACCATCTAGTATGGTATGTAACATGTTGGAGGTCCTCAATAAATGTTCATTTTTTTTTCTCTCTCTCAAATAATTTTATTTTCTTACTTTCAAAGTCATGATTACAGGGCTCTCCTTGTCATCCAACGCTTGTATACTTGATTTTTTTATTGTATTTTTTTTTTTTTAAGAGATGGAGTCTCGCTAGCTGTGTTTCTCAGGCTGGGCTCAAACTCCTGGGCTCAAGCCATCCTCCTGCCTCAGCCTCCCGAATAGCTGGGACTACAGACACGTACCACCATGCCTGGCTCTAATGCTTGTTTCATTATTTGTTTCTTCATTTATTCTCTCACTGAGTATTTACTGAACACCTAATTTCAACCAGTGGAAAATATAGCAATGAATGAAATAGACATAAATCCCTGCCTTCATCAGGCTTACACTCCAGTAGGAAAGGTAATGGACTAAATAAACAGTATCAGGGGTTAGATGGTGATAAGTATTCTGGAGAAATATTAAGAGTAAGAAAGAGTGATGGTAGCAGGGATTGCAGAGTTAAATAGGGTGATCAAGGAATTTTTTACTGAAAAAGTGACATTTATGTCAAGAACTGAAAGAGGTGAGGAAATGAGGTATGTGGATATCTGGGGGAAGACCTGTCAAGCAAAAGGAGGCAGTAAATGAAGAGGCTTTGGGGGGAACGTGTCTGACATGTTAGAGGAACACCTAGGAGGCTGATGTTGCTGGACCAGAGTGAATAAAGAGAGGAAACGGGAAGCCACATTGTGCAATCTTTTGTTTAGTACTGAAGTGGCCTCTATGGTACCTTTGTGTAAATTGGGAAAGATGTTCCCTCTGGGCAGATTTAGCCTCACAGGTGCATGGCGTAGCTAATGGAGTGTGGACTGGATTTCAGTTCCTACTCAATACCCTTGGCACAGTGCACAAATGGCATAATCATACATGATGGGCTTGGCCTTATAATTTATTCTGTTCTTACCCAAGAGCAATGCCTTCCTTTAAGCTACCAGTGAACACTTGGCCTTTCAAAAGAGAGCTGAAAAACTCCCTTCTACTTATACCTCATATTCCAACTTCTTCATATTGCTGCCTTCATTGTGGGAGTGCAAGACTCAGACAACCTGATGGGACGGTTTTTAAAACGCTATTTTGTTAGAAATGTGGGCATGGTGGTTAGAGTTTACAAAAGTTGGATAGGATAGATTTAGGCTTTTAAAATGGCATATTCTGTGTCACTTTAAGCACTGACGGACCTGTAAGTAAGTCAAAACATCAGCTTCCTTTTAGAAATATTGAGCCAATTTATTGTAATTTTTAATGTCTTTGAGTAGAGTAGACTCTTTGGAACAAACATTTATTTGGAGCCACATTTGGCTTTATCTTAATCCACATTTCTATTTAATAGAACAACAAGGTCCACACCTATTGTGAAATCTTATTGGAGATTAAAACTTGACTTGGAATAAAAGAATACCCAGCAAAATATACTGGGAGCCAAATATATATTTGTTTAATTGCTTCCTAAGCAGGACAATTTGGGAACCAAAACTCTGGGGGGGGGGTCTTTTTTTAAAGTCTCATTGTGTGTCTTAGTACAAGCGGTGCTTATTTTGGTGGAAACGTAAATTTGGAACCCTCTTCTCTTGATTTACTAAGAAAGTAGTACTGCCAAAAAATTCTCCCCCCCCAAAAAAAAGATGGTGGGAGACTTTTTAGCTGTTCTGTGTGAAATGTGTTCTTACAACTTAAGGCATAGGCTCTACTAAAATTGTAAAAGTTGCTAAATCAATATGTGATGGACTCCAGATAATGGAGATGTCCTGTAAGATCACTGGGATACTTTCTAAATCTTCCAAGCCTGAGTGTGGGCTTTTGACTAATGAAGAACTTAAATGAAGCAGAATTGCAATGTTGTGAATAATACCAAGTTTCTTTGTGAGTACCAGTGGGTTCCTTTGGGATTTAAGCCAGTAGACATTTGAGTGTAAATGTAAAGTATTCTGAGGGACCGTAAATAATGGAGCTGTGAAGAATGGGGTACAGGAAGAAATAAAGCAAGGAGTCCTGGCTTGGCTATTTATGTTTTATATTCCTGACAAGGACAAAGTTTAACTGGATTTAGGTGATGAAGAAAATAGAATATAATTATGGAATGTATATATGTTTTTAATGAGGGTTTTAAAAATGTTATTAGACTGTGAAGTTGTTGGTAGCACTCTCAAATGCCATTCTTTTCTAGATGTTGTCCTGTATTAAAGAGGACTACGTAGTAATCAGAGGCCTAGTCCCAGGGAAAGGGAAAGGTCTCTATTGCATTTTCCCATTTGATGAAGTGGGATTATTCATGTGGTAGACAAGGAGAATTTTGTAAATCTTTATCAAATAGGCATTGAAATCAAGGCTGCTATGGTATCTCTGTGGACAGTATGTAGAAAAATAGGCTAGGAGGTTATGCCACTGGGTAAGTTCATAACTGGTTTGGTAACCAGAGCGCTGATTAGTGTTACTCTGAAGAGAGTTTTTGAGGGCATGCCAAAAAATTCTGTCCATAGCCTTACTTCTTCAACATCTTATTCTGTTTTATATGAGATGTATACAACAGATATCCAAATCTTCGGATAATGATACAGGACTTAGAGTAATATATTTCAGATTTGCTCTTTTCTATCTTTAAGCTCCTACCACCTTCCTGCTCTTCAGTCAAAAGAGTGCCATCAACCGCATGGTGATTGATGAGCAGCAGAGCCCTGACATCATCCTTCCTATCCATAGCCTTCGGAATGTCCGGGCCATTGACTATGACCCACTGGACAAGCAACTCTATTGGATTGACTCAAGACAAAACATGATCCGAAAGGCACAAGAGGATGGCAGCCAGGTAATTCAGGGCTCAGTTTAAAATCCATTTCTTCTGAGTAATGTCTAGACTAACCAACCATTCTGTTTCACTTAAGTCTTGACTCTGCTAGAGAGAGAGAGAGAGAGAGAGAGAGAGAGAGAGAATGTGTGTGTGTGTGTGTGTGTGTGTGTGTGTGTGTGTGTGTGTGTGTGTTTGTATGAAAGTAAAATTCTGGACCTAGTAGCTTTTTTTCCTCCTGGTGATCTTTGAGTAAACAGTTGTTTGATGATGAAAATTGTATTAGGATAGCTTAAGCTCTTATATTGTGATGACTTTGTCACTGCCACCCACCATCTATTTATGTAATCTTTCCTTATGATTCCATCTGTGTGGAGTATTAGAGGCTTTGAAATAGGCCTTGGTTTGATCCCAGCTCTATCACTCACTTGTGAACTTTTTTAAGCTAAAAGGAATGCAGAGCATATAGTCCTTACCTGTTACATAGCAGGGACTCAATAAATAACATTTTTGTTACTAATAAACTATTACTTAAACGATTCAGAGGATAGGAAACGTATAACACAATCTCAGTAAAATTAAAGACATTTAGGATGTGTTGTCATTGATCCAGTGATTTTTTTTTTTTTTTTGCTTGGTAAATATTATTTGGTGACTATGGGATGGGAGTGAGGATGTTATCAGTAACTCTTACCTATGTTAACATACCAGTCATGGATTCACATACCACTATCCATGCTTCTTTCTTTCTGTGGCCAATCATCTATTAGACTGGGATTACTATAAGTAATTATTTGTTGTCTTCCTTATAGCAGTGGTATTAAGTTATATTTTGAATGTATTAAAATGTAGGGAAATTAGATTACTATTTTTCACTATGTCTTATCTCACAGTGAAGAGCAAGGAGATAATATATTTAGGGCTGCTGAGTGATCATTTGGGGGTATAGTCGTAGATATATAGTTCAGAGGCACTGTATAGGCCAGGACTAATGGAGCTGATAACTGGTAGGTAGAAATTATAGTTACTATACGGCCAAGGACATGGCAAATATATTAGGTAATTTCATTAAGGAATATTTTACTTCAGAGATACCAAGTAAATAAAATGTAACTTATTCAGATAGAGCAAATGGATAAAATCTCTCTTCATGTTTCACTTTATTAAAAAAAGTTTGTGACTAAAGTTGGTATTCAACCCCCCACTGCTAAATTTGACTGGCTTACAAAAAAAAAAGTTTGTGGTGTGTATGGATTTGAGGATCAGAGAAAGGGATGATGGATAGATTTGATTTGTAGCCCTGAAGAGTTGCTATTGTCTCTGCAACAGGGTTTCTCAAATTTGGTACCGTTGACATTTTTGGGCTGGATAATTGTTTGTGGTTGTTGGGGGGCTGCCCTGTACGTTGTAGAATGTTTAGCACCATCCCTGACCTCTACCCACTAGAATCACTTCTTGGCTTTTTGGTTGAGATCAGGTGTACTCACTAGTTGCCAGTTACACTCCACAGTTGTGACAATCAAAAATGTCTCCACATATTACCAAATGCCCATGGAGGCCTCTACTTGAGAACCATTGCTCTAGAGGGATTTCTAGAGTGTGGTCCTAGCCATAGTTATCTCCAGGTTATAGGAGACAATTGCCACCTTCTCACTCCCATCTCTGAATCTCAAGGCATTATCACGTTCTTGGAGCAGCTAGCCTGGCCTCAGCTCTCTCTTCTGTCCCAGGTTATAATAACCCAAGGAACATTTGAGATTTATGTTAAGAAAGAAGCACATTACCTATTAAAAAAACTTACCAGTAAGAAATGTTCCTTAAGACATGAGAGATTCTTCTTAGGTGTGTGGTCACATAGGTGTAAGCACTGTGAGTGATTGCCTTCGCGCTGTCTGCCCTGGAGTCTAATTTTCCGTATGTGTCTTTTCCCTAGGGCTTTACTGTGGTTGTGAGCTCAGTTCCAAATCAGAACCTAGAAATACAACCCTATGACCTCAGCATTGATATTTATAGCCGCTACATCTACTGGACTTGTGAGGCTACCAATGTCATTAATGTGACAAGATTAGATGGGAGATCAATTGGAGTGGTGCTAAAAGGCGAACAAGACAGACCTCGAGCCATTGTGGTAAACCCAGAGAAAGGGTATGTTACTAAAGTTGCATTCAGATAGCATGGCGTCTGAGACCTTCACAACCGTTTTTTCAGCCCATTATTCATCTACCTTTAAGTGTCCTGTGCTTCAGTATTCTCTCCATCCATTTGCCCCTGCATTTTGTTACAGCTTTCTTTTACTTTCTCTGATTTCACTGGTTAGAATTTCTTTCCTTGGTCACTATTGCTTTAGTTCTAAATCCTACTCATACCTCCAGGTATGGGTCCTACATGAAGTTTTTCTTAATCTATCCCACCCCCAGCCAGATGTGACTTTTCCCCTCTTCTGAATACTCAGCACTCTGCATCTGTGCCTTTCTATTAATAGTTACACTTAGTCCTTTCCAATTTACCTTATACTTAACTGTTTTTCAGTCTTATATTTCCTACTAGACTTTAGGCTCCTTTATGACAAGAACTAATGTTTTTTTTTTTTTTCATTTAATACAGAGCTTTACATTTAATAAATATTCAGTACTCAATTGTACCTGAATGAATAGCTTGTGTCAAAAGAATTATAGGAAAGGGATGAAATCTATAAGTCAAATAGAAGAAATTAATCATATATGACTTATTCTTAGTTATTAAATAGGTTAATTAGAAAAAGATTAAAAATTTTGTGTCCAGGACTCTCTGGTCACTGATCTTTAATTTATTGTGTTATTCTAGAAGTGTAGATATGCCTGTGTCTAACACTGTTCTATTAATCTATAAAAGTTAGCTGCCAAAGAAGTTCTATTTGTATACTTTTTTTGCTATTATTGAAAGTAGTAAAAGTATCCCATAACCTTTCTTAAAAATATATTTTAGACCATTTAAAAATGAGTTTTAAAAATATTATTCTACCTCCATTTGTCTTAATAAGAATATTCTCATTTTATATGGTTTCTTATTTCAGTAACTTAATTTTTTCTTCCCCTCTCTTTAGATATATGTATTTTACCAATCTTCAGGAAAGATCTCCCAAAATTGAACGGGCTGCTTTGGATGGAACAGAACGAGAGGTCCTCTTTTTCAGTGGCTTGAGTAAACCAATTGCTTTAGCCCTTGATAGCAGGTTGGGCAAGCTCTTTTGGGCTGATTCAGATCTCCGGCGAATTGAAAGCAGTGATCTCTCAGGTACCCAAGAAATGTGTTTCTTAATTTCGATTTGAGTTTTTAAGATCATTCTTTAATAGCATTTGTATTTTTCTCGAATGGTATGATTTTTATACACATTTCTAGACAGTTTTATTTACTAAATGTAGTTGGCATCAAGTTTGTTGGAGAAGAGCTTTTTCTTCAACCATCAACATGATTACTTCCCGTTATCTAATTATGTGCCAGTTTTCTTGATCTTGGCCATGTAAATAATATATTTCTAATGTGTTTTCTTCTCCTTTCCTAATTCTTCTGCTCTAGATTATGTTCTTATTATTTCTGGTCTGAATTCTAGCCTACGATTGATCTCCTTTGCTGGTTTTTTCCCACGAATGTTTACGCACTGCTCTTAAATTCTCTGAAGCATGGTTTTAATGTCACTACTTTACTTGAAAAATCTTCAGGGTAGTCTTATAACCTGTAAGAAAAAAGTCTTATACACATAAGTTGGTATTCACCCTTTATAAGCTTATCATGGCCCTTACATTCCTGGTATTTTAACCAAGTTAAATCATTTGTTGGTCTTAAGATAGACTTTTACTTTCCCATTTCTCTGCAGTTCTCTGTCTGTAATCATAGTTGCTTCCCCTGCTCCCAATTTCTGATATCCAGATGCTCTGTATGGCCTCATTAGTGATCAGGGAAATGAAATTAAAATATTACACTGTTTGTGTCTACCAGAATGGCAAAAATATGTTCAAGTTGGTTATACTCAGCATTGGCCGGAATGACATGCTCTTATCTGCATTGGTGGAAGCGGAAATGGGTAGAACCTTTATGGAGGGCAATTTGCCAGTAATTGTCAAAATTTAGAATATGCATTCCCTTTGATGTGGCAGTTTTCCTTTTAGATTTCTTATAGAAATACTGACCCAAATGTACAGGGGTATTCACTGAGCGTTATTTGTGATAGTCTTTCATGGGGAAATACATTCTAGTATATCACTGTATGGAATATTACAGTCATTCTTAAGAATAAGGTAGACCTGTGTGCATTGACATAGAAGGATGATTTTTAGAAATTAAATTGCATTAAAATGGTGATTAAGATGTAAATTTTGTTTAAAATTTAAAACTATGTAGTATATACATGTACACTATACACACACACATACTATATCTGCACATCCTGTCAGGAAACATGGGTATGTATGTCAGTATTTTCCTCAAGAAATAAGCAAACAATCTTGAGAGAAGTCTGGAACATTAGCATACTAAAATATACAACTACTTATTCGTGTATCATTTGAATCTTTGTATGTTTGAATACCTTTGTAATTTTTTTAAAAACAAAAAAAGTTTCCTCTTCGGGTTCAAATGCCTCGCTTCCATTTTGCTTTCTCCGATTTTAATCAGTCATGTACACGGTCATGCGTGTACATTTGCATGCCTTTTTCTTTCCCTTATCTGATCATCTGCATCTCTTATATCACCTCTAATTTGTGTTGATGTCAGTGTTTAAACTCTGGTATTG